AAAAAATTTAAATATTAAAAAAATTAGTAAAAATCTTCGCAGGCAAATTTGCCTGTGTTACAATTTAAGGGATAATATTAACATATTCTATAACAATATAAAGTATTGCTTTGTTAGTTTAGACCACAGATAAAAAACTAGGTGTCTATTAGATACTTTTAGTTAGTCTGAGTTCTTATTCTTAGCATTAGATTTATACAATAAAATTTTTTTTGATTTTGTAAGAAATTTTGATTAAATTTAATAAAGATAAGAGCAAGGTTTCACCATTAATATTAAAAAAAAAAAGTATTGCTTTGTGAATTGTTTCGATTAACCAATGATATTTTTGCAAGATTATAAAATGATCTACAAAAATTAGCCAATTGTCTGCTATACTTTTGTATTCTTAATTAGAATGTTTAGATATATTAATTTTTTAGCAATTTGAATTTTAAGAATTTCAAACTTATTTTATCTGGTTTGTATTCTTTGTAAACCCAGATCATTTTGTTATTTATTTCTTTCTAGAGCTTTACATCATCATTCTCTTTTTTGATCTTAGTATAAACTATATATAAAAATGAATTTATATAATTTCTTTTTATACTTTTCAATAAACATAATATTGAGTCTTTTATCGTGTTTCTCATTTCCTTATTTGTTGGCACTAGCTACACTTTGTCACAATAAAAATAAATTAAATTTATTACTAGCATATAATCTAACAATATAGCAAAAATTTACATACTAAGCAAGACAATTTTCTAACTAGAAACTTTTTTAATATAGTTTGAAGTAAAAAAACTACAATATCTATTATATAAATTCCTTTATTTTGTATATTTTCAAATTTAGGACAAAAAGCTAGGTCTTTCCACATATTATCACTTTGAGATAAAAATTTTCTTAACACAAGTAGTAAATATAACAATTCTACAATAAGAATTACTTACAAGGTATTAAGTATTTTTTTAGTAATCTCTACTAGAACTTTTTTTCAAGTTTTGTTATGAGAAAGCTTTTGTAATAACTCATCTAAAATCTTAATGTTAAAATTTCCCACAAACTCATTACATTTTTCTTGGATTATCTTTGGTATAACAGGTTTCATATTCTGTAATAGCTTTATAAAGGATTTATATATAGATGGTTTTGTTACTAGTGATTCAAATTGACAAATTTTTTAGTTGACTAATTAGTTGACTAATTTTATAACTAGTTGACTAGTCATATAATATATAGTATAAAGTAAATATAATAAACTACAATTTATTAGTCACCCAATCAAAACATCATGGCAGATTCTGTTTACACCCTAAATTAAATATAATCCCAAATTTTAAATTATAAATACTCTGACATATATTTTTTATGATAATTAATCATATGCCAATACGTAATTTATTATAATTACATGTCCTAAACTTTTGGAGTGTGAACAGAATCCGCCGCGATGATATTGGTTAACTCAGTGTTGTCAATAGACATGAACATGAATATACAAAAATATGGATGTCTATATTTATAAACATATAAAAATATAGATATGTTCATGTCCATGGACATTGGACATTGTGTCCAAGAACTGTCCATGTCCAATAATTTGCTTGAATATATGTTCATGTACAACACTGGGTTAACTATTAGTCTATATTAGTGTTGGGCAAATAATGCGCATGGAATTTTGGCCCGCATTATGGTAGCTTGCTGCTAATGCGGACTAGAATTGAGGTTCCGAAATATTCCGAAACTCCAATGCGCAACACTAGTCTATATGTTTATTATTTCTATTTTTAGGTCGACTAATAAAACTTGGTCGATTTTGTTGACTTAGTCAACTAAAACTTAATCGATTCATATCACTATCTGTCATTAATTGATTTAGCTGACCAATTAAAAGATCATTCATTAAAATGTAAAAAAAACTATATTAAAAACTCGAAAAACAGGATTCTGATTCTTCAAATAATTCATTCGAAAAAACTTATTACATAGTGGCAATATTGTAAACCTTGGACTTCAACACCAACAAATGTAAAACTAATATAGAATGAAAGGTTGTGTCGGTCGACAAGCAAAATTTCGCATTTAAAAATAATAGCGATCGAATAGCTTTGATAAAAATTGAAGCGAACAAATATATTAATTTTTACGTAATATTTGATAAATTCGAATTATATAGCAACGTCTTTTTTTTAAAAAAATTTCTCAGCAGCAAATTTTATTTCAGACTTCGATGTTTTAAAACAATAAAAAACGTTTAAAAAACTGGTTAACCCGTTTTTTTTACCATCCCTAAGGATAATATATACATAAATGTAAACCATTATAGATGCATTTTAGTAAAAGTATTAAAAGAATTGCCCAATTCAAACTAAATTTTAAAGACAAATATCAAACCTTAAATCAAATCAGTGAGTATAATTTCCAAAAGATCCAAAATAATTAAGATTTTACTTTAGAATCTTTAATAACTACACCTTTAGAAGAATCGTTTAAAACTTCCCCTTCAGAAGGATCTTTATCGTTAACAACAACGTAATGATAAGCGATAATTAAAGCCATAATCATGGCTCCTAAAGAATTGCATAAAGCTGCCAGTGTGGTATCTTCCATTTCTCAGTTTACAAGAAAATTGGGAAAAACTTTTCGAAATTAATTTATATAAGTGGCAAATTATCATTGGTGCATGCTTTAGTCAACCTTAAATTAAAAACTCATTCGATCCATTGTCACATGTTTTAAATATATTTTTTTAGATATATATGTTTAAATTTTTAATATACTCTATACTAAATGTATAAATTTTTTATTCTGCTTTATACGTACTAAACGTATAATTTTTTTTTATTATGTATAAATTTAGTATTATACTTATTGTATATATATAGTGTACTATATATATATATATACTATACACCTTTAACCAACTATACTACGTATACATGTTATTGTAATACGTATACCGGTTTTTTAAGCTTATACATATATATATCGTACTAAATAAGTGATGTTTTTACAGCGACCTTTTATTAGTGAAACGTTACGTTATCAAAGAATACTCTAAAACGTATAAATAAGTTACCCGGGCAATTGATTTACTCAACCAATCAAATGAAAGTTTGTCTATGAGGCCACGAAAATCGGGTTCTTTTTAACGTTTAACGTTAAAATTGATAAAGATGTTTTGTACAACATAGAGTTTCCAAATAAATTTAATACATAGCGATAGTCATTGAAAAAACGTCGTCAAAATAAACATAAAACCATCAGCATGTGATACAGTATATTCTAGATTCCAAAAACTTTTATTAAATAATTCCGATACTGTTTTAGATAATCCATATATCTTCAAAATGCCATAAATGCCATTCATTATTCAATGAAAAAAACAAAACGGAAAGCCAGAAGATGTTTATTCATTCGAATTCCGTGAAAGAATTGAAGCATTTTCACCATTTACTCTATAAGAGTTAATTCACTCACTCTATTTTTAGCATATTTATCTTTGTGTGTATTCCAAATATTATATAATTCATCAATATATTTCTTTTGTACTTCGAGCAAATCTTCTTCAGTTGGATTTTCAATCTTTTTAACTTCGATGGGTTTTCCGACTACCGAATCATTTAATAAATTTATTATTAATAATAAGTAATAAGGCATAAGCGACTGTTTTAACCATTAAACTTACCGACTGTAGTAATAGGCCTTCTATGTGGAAGAAGTCCAACATCATCTAATTGGTAGAAAACCGAATTAATCATGATCCTACACAGTAATAGTAGATAACAATAGTAATATTAAAGTATGATAAAATATAATCCATACAATTAAATACACCACGACCATGGAAGAGAGGCATTGTCCAACCAGACAATTTTTGTAATGTCTTTTGAAATTTCCAAACTTTACTACCTTCAGGATTATCAGCTTGTTCCCATATATCATTTTCGCCAAATGAAAATACTGGGCATAAACAAGCACTATTTTAATAAAATAAAATTATTTAATATTAATAAATAAAAAAAATTATTTAATATTAATAAAATAAAATTATTTAATATTAATAAAATAAAATTATTTAATATTAATAAAATAAAAT